ATAATTCATATTTTTTGACTATGGATTTGACCAGACCTTGTGTTATCCATGGACTTCTTTTACATGTTTTCGAGTTATATTTGATGATGTTAGTACATTTTTCTTCCGCCCGTTTCAGTATATTGATGAATGATTCAGTGGCTTGGTTAATATCCGGAGTTGAATAAACTTCAAGAAAGTTTTCATTTTCTAGGGTATTTTTATATTTTTTGTAGTCCAGTTTCTTTATAATTTTTTTCACTAACTGTTATTTTTGTCTTTCCAGGAGGAAGATCATATGGGGATCGACATTTTTAATTATGATCTGATATCATTGAAGTTTGGTATCTGGGGGTTTTCGGGGTGGAACTTCATGATTTCTTGTCAAAATTGGAATATTCAAGATGGCGGATCCAATATATTGCGAACGAGCTTTGTAATAAATAATTGTTTGAAAAATCAATTGAACATGCGTTCGTAGATTCGAATCGGATCAAGAAGAAGTAGAACATAAAAACTAGTTTAAAAAAATGAAGAAATAGATTGCCGAGCTGAAAACGAGGATAAAATAAAAAGTATCTTGAAAAACTAAAGAAACACGCTTTTATGAATAGCCGAACTGAAAAGAAGTAGAAAATGAAATAAATAAAGTGTGCTGGTGAATATTTAACTAAAAGAATATTTTCTAGAAATATTGTGCATAGCAAAACATACCAGACACGTTTATTTGTCTGCTATAGAGCAGGAAAATGTATCTACCAAATGGTTGGAACGAATTCTATAGCTAAAATTCATTAAAAAATTGCAGAATTTTTAAAACTACCAGATGTCATAAATTATACCGGGCATAGTTTCAGAAGAACCTCGGCAAGTTTACTTGCGAATTCTGGAGGATACATTCTTGCTTGAAAGTCTACGAATATCGCTGAAGGGTATGTGCAGCAATCTCTCATAAAATAGCAAAATAATATCACGAAAACTGCATTGGCTCCAGATCCCACTTCTAGTGACATTCAAATAACCATTGCTCATAACTGCACTTTTAACATTAGTTTATGTAATTATTACTCTACCACTAATTGAAAATATGTAGGATGCAAGGGTGAAAATAACGTGCCCATAATAAGTTATACTGTATACCTACTTATTCTCTGTTACTTTCATCAATAAATTATTTATGAATGACTTTTCATTCAAGGGAGACGGAAAAATCATATGTATAACCACAGTATACACCCTCAGCAATCAGGAACATAAGTGATTCACGAAACAATACCAGGCAAAATAAATAAATCCTGATAGATGTTGGTGGTTCCAATCACAGAATGAATCTCAAACAAAGGCATATAAATCAAAGAGATGTAAACAAAACATCTGCCCTGCTAGCCGAGCCACTGCGCATACTAGCCACGAGTAGACATGCCGCACTGCGATTTTAGGGACACGAAAAGTGCTAAGTGAAATTACTGTTTTCCGCTAGGGTGTACACTGTGGTATAACATGGGGGTAAATTATATTCTATTCTTCATTTTCCTGCAATTTCACATATTATAAGCTTACTTTTCTTCCAAGAATTAGTCACACCATAAATTTTTCTCCGAGTTGGATTTCCGAAAATATATTTAGCACACATGACATGAGTACAGTTGTGCAGATACCCACATAGAGGTTTTCATCATTTCTCAATCATAAGGCTCAGCTCATTCAGCTCATAGTTAAACTATTGCTCAGCTTGAAATCAGAATTCAATCAGTCAATTCAGTCAACCCTGGTATACAGTCTAAGAACAGTCTATTTTGGTGAAATATATTAAGCTTTCAGTACACATTATATGAACCTCGCAAAGATTTTGCTGGAGTAGTAGACTCCAAAACTAGAGGATTGTTCAAATAGGTATATCTTGGTATAATTGAATCAGAAATTCCATATGGAAATTACGTATGATACGCCAATGAGCTCAATATAACCTAAAAAAACAACAAATGTCAAAAATATGATAGGCATGGGTTGCGTGCAAGACCTGTCAGATGACCGACCCTGGAGGCACAACATTGAAACAGAACCTCACTTTTCTTATTTGTTTACAACTGATTGAAATAGTTTTTCACAATTATTTTGGCATACCATTCATATTTTTCGGCTTTTCATTAATTCGCTCATGCCATCACATTGTGCTGTTGTACAATTCACAAAAACTGCAGCAGAAAACTGAGGAATCCTGTTGGTAAATTATGTTTTGAAAGTAAGTACCTACTATTAATTATAGTCACTCACATATATATAGTTCATTTTTGAAATTTGGTAATTTCTCTGATTTCTCATCGGAATTCCTTCTGCAATAGGAGCTAATAGAAATACACATGAAATTACTGAAATAATGCAAGAAGATTGGATTCATGCAATCAAACAGGAGGACTGGTCTGACATGCTGACGAAATATAATCATGTGTGTTGTAGACATTCTCAATCTATTAGCAGTATTAGCTTGTATTGCAGAAGTGGCAGGAGGAATTTCAATAAGGAATGACAATATTTTATAATGATAAATATGTGAGATTACTATTCACCTAAAAAATTATATTCCTTCGTCTCTCGCTGCATTTTTTGTGCATTGTACAACAGCACAATGCGAAGGCATGCTTGAATTAATGAATAGCGCAAAAAACACGATTCGTTTGCTATAATATTGTGAAAAACTATTCTAATCCTCTGATTCTTCTGTAACCAAATGAAAAAGTGGGGTTGTGTTTCAATAATTCACAAAAGAGTGAGGTTGTGTTCTAATATCTTGCCTCCAGGGTCGGTCATCGTGCACGCGACCTATTTAATGACAATACGTAAACGTTGTTTTTCGTACGTTAACGTCTACGTGGAGGTCTACGTACATTACTTCAACTTTCTAATATCTGGCAACACTGCCATCAAGGCAGTCGCTGTTGCTGATGGCTGTGGAGATTCGCCATTCATGAAGGTAGCATGCTGCTGTGCTGCTTGGTATGATAAACAAGCCAACACACAATATTTCTTTATGGTTAAAACTTTTGAGTAGCGCGATAGCTCAGTGGACTATGTATCTGACATTCATGGCGGTGGCTCGCGTTCAACTCCCTGCGAGGCGCCATCTTTTTTCTTCACTCAAGTAATTTTCGAAAAATATACTATTCAGAAAAAATGTTCATTTAGGACGAGTGCGGTTAAAAGCAGTCTCAGTTTTCATGCAGAAACGATATTTTCGTAATTCGATAATGTTATTTTGATTTAATGGTATTATAGAACAATTAAAAGTTACTGTTAACAGCATTCGTCCGTTGAGATTGTTCAACATCCGGCGGCCGTTGACTGTTCCATATATAACCACACGATGTAGTTATTTTTCTGAAAAATTACAAAGTACGTGGTTTTTTCTATCCTCGTGATCTAAATGAAATCTTTCAGCGGTATTATAAAAAGTCTTGAACGACACACGGCCGAAACGCAAATAACGGTCTTATACCGTTAATAACTATTTCCTTCCTGTTTTCACTCAGGTTCATTTAGGCTCCTTTTCTTTTTCATGCAGGAACGAAATTTTTCTTCCTCATAATACTTTATACATGGTGTCCCGAATTTAGCCTGCCTAACCAGCGGCTTCTACGATCAAAAATAGGAAAAAAAGTGTTAATGAACATGAGAAGATAAATGTCTTCTGAGGAAGCTACGGCTCCTTGAAAGGGTGCTCCTAACGATTATATTTCTTGAGTATTTCCGAAACTCCATGTGATAAAAACATGCAGTTTGGTACAATAACAAAACTTTCCATGCCTAATGCAGTCAAAATAGAATCATTCCATAATTTCACTCAGGGACTACATTAAATATTGTTCAAACATTTTTAATGCAGGTTTTTCGACAATTGAACTTGAACTTTTGGAGATTATAAGTTTTTGGAAATATTTCCCTTTACGAGTTTTGATATTGTGCTGTTCGACAGATATTATGCATAACATTGCAATGAGTCGTAGTGGAAATGAAAAAAAATGCACTTAAATTTGAAGTTGTTTTGTCATCATCATTTTCCTATTTTTCGCACTTTCATGAGATTGTTTAGTGAAAATAATGTAGTTGTTTTTTTATAGCCACAATGATTTGAAAATGGCAACGTTATGAGATCTCAGTTATGAGAGTGTATCAATAATTTCAAATCGATTTCACTCGGAAATGATACATCTGATCGATGCGGAACAAGAGCACTTATTTTTGTAAAATGGTGTGGATTTTCATAATTCAAGATTGTTGAAAAATATGTAAGTTTAAGCAATATTTAATGTGCCCCTACCTGTATTATACAATCCTGAATAAAACTTTGAAATGATTTTATGTTCATCGCATTGGGCATGAAAAGTTTAGTTTTTGTATCGAACTGCATCATTTTATCAGGTGGCGTTTCGGAAATATTCAAGAAATATCATCTTCAGAAGCCCCCTTTCAGGGGGCAATAGTTCCCTTAGGAGACATTTTTCGACTCATGATCAGTAGAACTTTTCTTCCTATTTTTAGTCGCACTAGCCACTGGTGAAGTTTGGTAGGCTGATTTCGAAATACCCAGTCTAACATTCTGATAATCTTGAGATTTTCCGAAGCACAGCAGCATGCTACTATAAGCATGACTGGCGAGAGACATTTGTAATGGGCCTTGCTGATGGCAAGCGTGACCTTTCCATTCGCATATTTGGAGTTATTTCTATTTCAGTAAATGGCAGAATAGAGGTATTGAGCCAAATGAGGTGAATTAATGCCCGAACTACGATTTCACTATTTGTTTTCATAATGTCTAATTACTATTATTAAGACTAATAAAAAGAGAAGCAGAATAAAAATGTCAACATATTTTGACTTTGACATGTTATTATCGTTTAACAAAACCTGAAATGTCATTACGTCAATCATAAACAAAATGTTTGAATCAGGTTTGAATAAATTACTTTTAAATCTAACAATTTTTCATTAGATTATTAGATTCGAAGTGAAAATACACTTGCAATATGAGCGAACTATCTAGTGCAATTATGAACTTAGAACTAAGTGTTGATATTTTTAAGGAAGTGAAGTATTTTGTTAGTGGAGAAGTGCAGGAGAAGGTGAGTCGTTAGCATCCATGTAGGCATGCATGTTTCAATAATATGTATGCATATTTTTCTCACTTTAAATGATGAATGCAAGTGTTATAACTGTAATAACAATTTAATAAATATCTTCTACTTGTTTTCAATACTGTATCATATGTATAAAAATTAGAAATACAAAAATGTCAACTACTTTTGTAAAACATTTCTTCTAATGAAGCGCCACAGCTATATGATTTTCTGACTGTGATTATGCCAAAGAACTCATCAAAAATATGTTGCTAATTTAACAATTTTGATTTAACAACATTTCTTCAGGCATCCAGGTAAACCAAGAGGTGTACCCAGGTGTACATCTATTATTTTGAAGACACAAATTAAATGTACGTTTTTCATAATGTTTGCATTAAATGTCAAGAAACTGGATAAATTTTTGAATAAGTTTTCATGCAAAAATAGTCAAAATACTATAATATTTCAGATAATAATATGAGTAAATGCGAGGGGTAAATCTCCAGGAAAAATGTGTACACCAGACTTCCAAATACCAAAGACTTCCAAAGACTTTCAATGACTTCCAAAGACTCCCAAAGACTTCCAAAGACTCCCAAAGACTTTTGAAGACTTCCAAAGACATTCAAAGGCATCCAAAGACTCTCAAAGACATCCAAACACTTTCAAAGACATCCAAAACATCCAAAGACTTCCAAAGAATTCCAAAGACTTCCAACGGAGTGTACACCAGACTTCCAAGGAGATTAACCCCTCGAGTAAATGAACCTAGTAAGAAAAGAAAGACATATGAGAGCGCCCAGAAATTCCTTTTATCTAAACCCAATTCAAGACACTGAACTTATCACTATAATGATTAGTACCCTTAAAAATAATGCATCAAGTGGTCAAGATAAAATTGGCATCGAAATTTTAAAAAAATATCACAATTTCCAAACGAAATCACAGTAACCTGAATATCCGGAGAAGAAGGGATATTTTTACACTTACCCTCTCCCGCATGTGACGCCCCTGAATGAAATTCTGAAATTTCGAATACGGAGTCCTATTTACCATCGAATGTTTATGCCGTACACCAATTTTTAAAAATTTGTTGTGAAGGATTTTAAAGTTATAGAGAAAAAACCGTCTTTGAGGTGTCCTATTCAAAGGGCCGTAGCTCCCTTAGGAAGCATTTTCGGATCCTTATCAATAGGAACTTTTTGCCTTATTTTCAAGCAAGGAATACGCCTCTGAAAGGATGCCGCTTACTTTTGAATCACCCTGTATATGGCATTAATAATATCTCAGTTAGAGTATTGGTCAATTGTTTGGTCACCCTTTTATGAGAATCACTGCACTACATTAGAAAGAGTTCAACATAAATTAATGAGATTATGTGCATATAAAATGAACATTCGTATTGATAACCATGACTATACCTCTATTATGAACATTCTCAACCTCAACTCTTTGAATAAAAGAAGAACAATTGCTGACCTGATGTTTATGTTTAAGTTGATCGGATGCCTTGTTTTTTGCCCTGAGCTCCTTGAAATGATATTTTTGCATGTACCTAGTAGAATTCTCAGGAATTCTGATATGTTTCAAATTTCCTTTCATCGTTCTAACTATGGCATGCATTCTCCTATTGATCGTACACTCAGATTGGTGAATGAGAAAAATATAGAGATAACAGGCATAACTCTTACTGCATTCAAAAGTAATGTATTGAGAACATTATGAGCATCATTATCACATAATATAAGTTTCTATTTGTATAATCAATAGATATGGGCATTTTGGTATATAATTTCCACTAAGGGAGTCATTTTTCCATCTATTTTCATATTTATAATGTATACTATAATTATTAATTAGTCAAACTCTTTTAGGGACTACATAGATTTAATACATGATTTGTATTTATTATAATGGGGGTTACCTACGAAAGCGTCTAGGGGTCACACATTTAAAATACATTTTTTTTTTCAATATATTGGAAAAAAAATGCAATATGTTGGAAAAAAATTCAATATATTGAAAAAAAATCCAATATATTGAAAAAAATTCCAACATATTGGAAAAAAAATTCAATATATTGAAAAAAAGATTCAATATATTGAAAAAAAAATCCAATATATTGAAAAAAAATCCAACATATTGAAAAATAAATTCAATATGTTGAAAAAAATATCCAATATATTGTATTTTTTTTTTCAATACATTGAAAATTTAGTCCCAACGGCCAGGAAAGTTCCACGACTATAGAACCCCGCTGACGGTCGAAGTGTGCAAATCTGCCAGCGACAACTCTGTCGGCGACAACACAAAGCAAGGACTGAAAGACTCGAGCGGGGAATTACATAGTGACTAAAAAAATTCAATACTTTCCAAATACTATTTTAGAGGCGGGCAAAATAGGAAAATGATGATGAAAAACTACTTCAATCTTTGTGCTTTTTCTCTCCATATCCACTACGATTTATTGCCATGTTATGTATAATATTTTTGCAAGAGGTGTGGATTTTCATAATTCTAGCAGATTATATTAACGAAAAATATACGTATAAAAAAGTAACTGTATTCTGCGTCACTCCAAGTCCATTCTGTAAACATCTCTGGTGAATCCAACGATATCTGCATAATTGACCAGACGTCTTCAACTGAGCTTGGATGAATTCGATCACAGTGGATAATGCGGAATAATTCTTTTTTCGATTCAATTTCATACTTCTCAGTTTACGTTTGAGTGTTGATAAACTCATTACCATATTATGTCTCAAATACAGAAAGGCTAGTATTTCTTCATAATGCATGCCACTCAGGAAATAATCCTTTATTATAAAATCAGTATGATTTCTTGAGACGTTTAGTGAATCCCCATCATTGTCCATTTCCGTATTGAGTCGTGGTAATAATATAATCAGTTAAAGCGAGCAGAGCACTACTAATGCACTCTAGCACAACAAGCAGCTTATTGGCACATTCATCACTCACTACTCACTTTTCCTTGGATTTGAATAATGAAGAAAAATTCAATATATTGGATTTTTTTCAATATATTGGATTTTTTTTTCAATATATTGGATTTTTTTTTCCAATATATTGGATTTTTTTTTAATATATTGGATTTTTTTTCCAATATATTGGAAAAAAATATTTTGATTGTGTGACCCCTAGACGCTTTCGTAGTTACCCGTACAATAAATAAAAAAATAAATGAAAAAAATAAATAAATTGAGTCATTAAGTCATTATACAGTGTGTTTGATAGTGCTGAAAACTGAATGGGGGGCTAGGTGGGGTGATTTAGGATCAATTTGATCAAATACATTTTTAGAATAAGAGTTATTCAAATTAAATGTTCAAAATTGCATATACTTACTTTGAAATCTGAGTGGTATAGTTATAATCTTATGTGTTCTAGGTATTTGATGATATTTTCATTATCGTTTTTATTCCTTCCTGATAAATAGTGGCATTTCAAAAATATAATTAATTTTTTCTCTACTTTATTTGGTCATACTGATACTAAATCACTCCACCTAGCATCTTTTCTAGTTTCCTGCACCCAAACACCCCGTATTTTCAATCCACTGTCGTTTTATTTCTTGTTTTTTTTTTAATATGGATCCTCATTTGGATCAATCAGAGAATCTTCTGGGTTATAGGTCGAAGGTCGGGTCGGCTCGGGTTATACAGGGTGTTTTGTAATATGTGGGACGCACTTCTAGAGGTGATAGGGCGTCTCAAGAATATAAAAAAAACATAAACAAAAGTCGTAAAAGGCTTCGTTTGCGAGATACAGGATGTTAAAAGTTGAAAATAAAAAATAATTTTCATTGGATTTCTAGATAACTGCTGAACAAAAAACAAAAATCCTTGATATTCTGGTGCATATCTAAGCACCTGAGAGTGATTGAATGGGTAGCATTATTTAGTCAATCTGACTCCCAGCACCACTGTCATGGGGTATTGATGTATGATTTTTCGGGAAAAACATATGGATGGCCATGAAACTTTTCAAAATTTTATTCGAAAATATGAAAGAGGTTGCAATTTTGTAGAAATCAAATGTGTTGAAATTCGTAAAGATACACTGTTTTCAACGGTTTTGAAAAACCGAATTACCAAATTCAACTCCAAAATTTGATGTAAATGTCAGGTAATGTCAGATAGTCCATTCAAGACATCTGTTCAGATCACTTTATAACCATGATAGATATAATTTTCGAATCTAACACCCTGTATCTTGCAAACGAAGCCTGCTACGACTTTTGTTTAGAGGAACTTTTTTATTTCGTTGAGTGCTCTATCACGAAGTGCGTCCTACATATTACGCAACTCCCTGTATATTATATAGGGAGAGAAGTAAGCCAAGTAAGGACCGACCGAGAAATCGACCCTCGCTTCGACGGATATGATTTTATGGGACATACGGATTATATCGGCAATTCAATTTTGCTGTACATTTTTTGCTGTATAAATGAGCAAAAACTCAATTATAATTACGAGTAATTATAATACAGGGTGATTTAGGTTTTAAGGTACAAACTGAAATGGGTGATAGATCTCATTATTTTGATCAATTGAGCTAATATTGCCAACATTTTTACAGATATTGAGTTTGAAATGGTTTGATTGAAATGAATGATTGATTGATGAAGTATACCAAATGCTCTAAATTACTATTATGTGAAAAGTATCGAAAACATTTCTGATCAGTTATCTCAGTATCAATATAGATGTCCAATCTGGTCTAACATACTAGATGTACAATTAACTACATTTCAATTGATTTCATTGGTTGAATTGAGAGAAATCATACGGTCAATGCCCAATAAAAATAGTCTCATCAGCTGATCCAACACGATGTGCTGAGACAATTTCTGAAATCATCATGTTGGGGATAAAAACCTACATACCGAACATTCCGATAAGGTCTAGTAGAAACTGCTCTAGGGCTGTCGCTTCCAAACAGCCGGCAGCATTCCATCGATGGCAGAAAAATCCAGGCCCTGA